GATTGAAGGCACCGGCCTATCACTTATGGATCGCCTGGACTATATTGAGGATGCAGCCGCCAAACATGCCTTGGCCAACAAAAAGCAGGCTACTCTTTTTCAATATTTTAAACCAACACAATAAATACTATGTTTGCATCTTCAAGTGAGTATTTACTGCACCATGCTTGAACGGTTCGTTGGTTGTTTTCAGCAAGCTGTTGACGCATTTTCTTCGTGATTTTTTTTATATAGAATTCTGGATATATCGAACTATTTCGCGATCGCTGCGCCGTTCTATATATCGAGGTTCGACTGTATAAAACGACTTAGTTTTGAAAGTGCGTGCGCAGCCAAGCGCATGGGGATTCTAAAATGAACTACCAATTGCCGCAACCGCCGCGCACAAAACCACGGTCGCGGTGATGGGATCTACAAGCTTCGAGAGCACACAGCGGTAAATTAAAAGCAGTAAATACGGAAAAAATTTTAAAAAAGTTACAGTTTTACCGCAAGGGCGAAGCAATAAATGCGACAGCAATAACTTGAAATGTACCACTGAGAACGGCAAGCAGATCGAAACGTGCAGCGTGCTGCTCACACACAAATGACGCACGAAAATGATACTCGCAGGACGAGGGCGAACTAACAGTGTTTACTTCTCGACACATAACGCGCTGTTTAAGCAAAAATGATGCACGATACGTAATCACAGGTACAGATGAGTACAAAATAACTAGTGTCCTAGTTGTTATATCTCGCTGTGTATGAAAAGCGTGCCATTTTCGCAAAAGGGGCCTGTGCAGAGATCGAAGTGACCTTTGTGGGCCCTGCAACTAACGCTTTCGTTTCAGTGAAAGATGATTCCCCCACTAAAGGATAAGCACGTGCGCACAGTCATCCATCCAAGGGGCAAAGTACACGTGAGAGATGAGCACGTGGCGGCGCCGAGCGCGGGCGTGTTTTTTTCTTTGAGTGTTCATATATATATATATATATATATATATATATATCGATACGTATACATATATTGTGAAGTACGGCAGTGGTGGCGACGGCAAAAAAACAGCCTGGGCTGTCCATATGATTGCTATCGCAATAAATAGGGCCTCTCAAAAGAATATTGGTGTTCCTCTCAAAAGAATCTAGCAGTGAGCAAAGCTTTGACCCGCGCTTTTGCAGCAGCCAGCTGCGCCGTCCCGTCCATTCACGTGTGTCCCAGGAAGACACACGCGAGTTGTTTTGGCTGAAATATATTCTGCTAGTTGTGTTAATCCTTTGAGACTCTCACCTTAGTGAAAAACTCTACCCTCGTGTGTTCGGCCACTCCTAGCCACTATAAGACCGCATCGCTGATGTTGGCGCTTGCAATTGAGACCTCCCTCTCACCACCTTTTGTTTTTCGCGATGGTTTTTGTTTGTTTTTTTTAATGCCCCCTCGTTGCGGAAATCTCCCGGATTCAGAATCCTTGAACTTGGCAGGTATGTAAAAGAGATAGAAGGAGGTATTTACAGAAAATTGGACCACCCACGAGGCTTCCGTACTCACTTGCTTCGGGCCTGGCCTATAATCCACGGGCTCTTAAGCTTTGCTCACCCCAGAATGCAGGTCACATAGCTCTCATATCAACTCAACAACATTCTTGAACCAACAACAATAACAGCAAAACTTGTGAGCAGAAAAAAAAAAAACTCAGCGAAACTCAACGTGCCGACAAGTTCAAACATGTCTCAACAACCGATCTTCTCGCTCTCGACAAAGCACACCCCCGACGCTAGCAACAAATATCCCCCTAGGCCTACTCTTTTCCGGCTCGGACAACAGGCTGTACCAAACCGCAAAAACTCGTCCGATGCTCCAAGAGCCCAACGTCGTTGGGCGCCAGTGTGGGGTCTCGAAGTGGAGAGCACCATGCTCTTGTAGTACACGGACACAGCAGATGCGGTCGGACCAAACCTAACAAACATTTAACTACTTTTAGAACGAGGATATCTTCAGCCGAGTTATTATACGTCACATCAATTGTGATCAACACGCTGAACAACCTTACACAAAATTATGCTACACTCAACAACATATCAAACACAGGCACACGTACAAAGTGGCTTCGCCAACGCTTGACTTGCCACGTGGGGCCCACCGCAGATTACCCGCGGTGCCGCCCACAGCAGACCCACCGCTAGAGACATCCATTCCCGCCAGTCGCCAACCACAAAAGAGAACCGCTGATCTCTCCCGTGCCGTCATCAAGGCTTGAGGCCAGGCGTCACTGCCGGCGCTATCACTCTAACCGTGATGGTAAGTAGTGAACAACTCTCGCGAACACGACAACTACCGCTTGGAAGTTGTGACCCCAGAATATGACTTCTGCACGAGACACGTGTGCCACGAGGCGCAACCAACTTTGCAGGGGGTGTTAGCACCTCCACAACTTTTAGCACGAAAAATAAAATAAAAAAAAAAGTCCCATGATCAGCTGAAGTGTGTGCCTGTGGGAAACAAGACGTGCTTCACTGCAACACAGAAGTGATGTGCGGGCAGCATGTCGCATGCTTCTCGCAATGTCAGCACGTCATGTTTTACCCATTCTTTCTAGGAATATAAACAAATTAATAAAGGGTACTTTGGTGGAATTCCGGATGTATGCGAACCTCTGAGTACTGGTTGCTCCAACAATTTGTGCACTTGCACTGCTGGCGGAGTTCTTGCCTGCTAAGCCTACTTGGAAAACTCGGTTAGAAAGCTTCAATGATCATGTTTTCCAGCCAAAACATCGCAAATTTTGTCCCACTGTCTATTAAATAAATTGTTTATTTTACTATAAAGAATGGACAAATAGTGGCATCATGATAGGCTGACGTAGCGAGGGGCAGATGACACGCTGCCCGCGTGTCGCTACAGTGTTGCAGTGTAGATGTCTTACGTTACACAGGTGCACATTTCAATTAATCACGCCATTTTTTTTTTCTTGTTTTCTTAGAGATTGCAGCAGCAAGACTCTGCATTCTCCCTCGCTTGCGGCAAAACTGTGACCTTGTATTGTGGGAAAACTTGACTCCTGGAACTGCAAACTAGCCAGCACAGCAAATGACCAGCCCCGATACTTTGAATAATTTTAAGTTCCTTGCACCCCACTTTTTGTATGTTCTATTTATATAATGTATGTTCTCGCCACTAATCCGTTATAGGAACCAGCACACCGGGCTGTCGACCACACAGGCTCTGAGCCACGTGACTATTACTGCCATCTGGTGGCGTGAAGGAGGGGAGGAACTGAAGTTCAATGCAGCGCATGTGTGGTGGCAGTGCTTCGTCGTTCCACCTGTATTTCTAATACCGTGATTTCTAGTACGTTCAAAAAGTGCGGCAGGACCCCTTTAAAGGGACCATTTTAGATAAACACAAATTTTGTTGTACATCAAATAGTGTTGCGGTCACCATTGGAAGTGACCATTTGAAATAAGGACAATTTTATTGGCCGATCACAGGTATTGCCAGAAACAATTTTTTCTCCCTCGTCTTAAGGGGCACGTGGCCCTTGAAAACCGAAAAATCACGAAAAAATCTGTTTAAAAAAAACGTATTTTTAGATTGTATGTCACATTAACTACCTATTCTGTAAATATCAGCGCCTAATTCAACTTCTAAATACAAAAAAGATGCTATTTTTGAGGCTGCTGCAGCGCCCAAAACATGGGCAAAAGCCAAAATCAAACCAAATATTGCACGCGCGCTATTCCGAGACCATGCAGTCGTCCCACGCAATCTTGGTCTTGTTTTGACCGTAAATTCTTTCTCTCTCATTTGCTGCCTTTCAAAATGGCGTCAACGATGCAGTTGAGAAGCTATCTATGTTTCACTTTTCTCAATCAACATTCGCTTTTCTGCTGCAAAGGCCCAATGCGTAGATGCTTGCGCCGGCGAAACTGTGCTGTCGGCTGCTACAAGTCCAGAATACGACAAACCTTGTATACCTGGAGCCGCGAATGCATCAAGCGTATCCGAGATTGCTGGATGCAGCACGTGCTCTGAATCAGTACTGTCAAGCGTCACACCGAGTGTTGCTAAGATCGCCAGACCCTGCTTTTCGTCTCCATTGGGGCCAATAGCGTGCATGGGCCATCGGCCCTTCATTTGAGGATGCATTTTCTAACTAAGGAAGAAATCAATGCGAATGCGAGACTTCGAGACGCTGTTTGCGCTGAACTCGAATCTATGCCAGCGACGCAGAAAAAGTTTGAACTGATGCAGTCGGCTCTTGAAAAAGATGCCCTACGTCTGAAAAAAAAAAAAAAAAATTCTAAACAGCACTTAGAGAAGATGGAGGGAAGACAGAAGAGGAAAATAGTGCACAAGGACACTTCAAACTACTCTGCTGGAGCTTTTTGAGGAAAACACTTGTGCTGAACTTTCAAAGCCCGTTTTCTCAAAATGAATTTTTTAGCTAATTGTGGTGCCGAGGGAAGTGATTTCTCAAGAACTGCTTATCAGATTTGTGTGCCGTCTTTTTTATTCTGCTCTTGGATGACTTTGCCAGGGTGTAACAAGCTTCTTTTTTTGAAAATTGTTGCCATTAAATTATTAAGAAACAATTATTTTTTGATAAATGTCATACCTACTGGCTACATCAAATTCTAAGTTGCATAAAATTTTTTTGGAGGAGAAATAGGGTTCTTTAGCGCCCTAGGATATCTATCCAGGGGTGATCACAAAAAATTTCAGCCTTCTGGTATGTCCTAGGATTTCTTCCGGCTCTTCCTCAGGCACGCAAGTGAACCACCCTGTTAGACCTCAGTGACTCTAGAACCCCTGAACACAATTTCACGAAACTTTGCAGTTTATCCAGTTTTAATGTAGTGAACATACCCTGAAAGTTTCAGGAAGATATCCTAAAAAATATATAAGTTCATTTTCCGGGGTAGCCTTTTCCCCTAACCCTTGCAATGAGTCTCCCTATTTCAGAATTTTCTAAATTGGTCAGAATGCTGTCTTAATCTTCTTTATTCTCTTATCTTTCCAGGTTTTTGAAGACATTGCTGCATTGTTGGTTATGCAAGACTACCTTACAGACACGTCAGTCTCTCCTCTACAGAAGTTGTTTGTTGAGACAGAAGATCCATACTGCAGCATGGTATGTTCCAAAGTATATACAGTATAACCTCACTACAAGAAACCTTCATAGTGAAGAGTATTTTGGTCTGTTGTAAAAGGAGCATGTAAAATCCAAGTACTGTTACAACAGACTTTTATGTAAGCACTTAATGGGTCTGTTGTAACCAGAGAAAATTACTAGTCATGAATGGATTTACTCTGCACAGGGGTATAAAAAATAATTGTTTGAAAATCGCACTTAGTTTTTGTTTCCTCCCTATTTTTAAATATGATTCCAAAATATCGTCACTGAAAACTATGCAGAAGGGCTGTAAAAAATGTTTGCGCCTGTCGAGCTTGCGGAAATTATTGCCGAAATATAAAAAAAAAAATATTTAAAAACTACAGTGCCTAAATGTCACAACCATCGAAAATCACACTACTTAGTGACATTCCTGCACTTGTTCTGTGTTCGTGGGACTCAATGTAGTTAAAGAAGCTCAAAGCGGAAGTTCAGTTATCAAATATCGATAGCGCATCGAACTTGTCACGAACATCGCAGACGTGTGACCTGCTGCTGCTGCTGACCTTGGAAAAAAAAAACCACCGCAGGACAAATATTTATTATCACAATCGCGCATGACCTACTTTGAAACATCGGGCACTGTGGCTGTGTTCATCGCAACCAAGATTTCTGCTCGAAGTCGTGGCTAGGCTTAACTTCACTCCAAACTTTGTGGGCAAGATCATCGTATTAGTGGTCATGCGAAAGCGATGAAGCTGTAATGTGCTTTGTCAAAAGTGACGAATTACATCGCCTGCTAGCTCCTCAGAACCATAGATAGGCATATTGCGCATAGGCAGCAGACTCCCTGGCCAAACACAGTATACAGCGATTGCTCGGAGCAATGACTAGCAATTCCGAGCGTTGGCACCCCAAAACGCAAGACCAAGCACACTGCATGTCTACTTTTTTGTTGCCTTAGTTAAGCATAACCAACTGCAGATTGGTAACCTTTGTTCTTAAATCAGCATGTTGATATCCGCGGCGTGCCATTCCTATCCAGAAAGTATTCCGATGTTTGAGTCGGAAGTTGTTGAATTTGGCATGGTCCACTGTAGAAAAGTCCACTGTAAAGTATTTCTGGCCACCTTGCCAAACGTCTGTTGTACTAGAATCCGTAGTAAACACAGCTCAATCAATGAAACAAGTAGGGTGGTCGGCATAACGACGCAAATTGGTACGTTGTATACGAAAGTCTGTTATAAGCAGATCTGTTGTAATGAGGTTATACTGTAATCTTTGCTCAATGTAGCCTTACTCTATGTGTCACTGTTCAAATTTTAGAACACAGAATAAAAGCAATGATTGTGGTGTCTATTTGTAATTTAAAAACCAGGTACAGTTAAACCTCGATATAACGAACTTTGGCATTATAAAAATATTGATATTATAAGACAGTGTCTCACTTAGCACAACTTAATGCCCATGAAACACCATCTAGATTGAGCCTCATTATTATTAGGAGTCTTTATATGTGAATTAAGTATAGCAGAATTTCAGTGCTGCTCCATAGCAATACCAAAGCGGTAAACTGAAAGTTCTGCTGGGGCAAGTCATCGAATGGTTGAGTTGGACAGAGTTTTTGCCGATGCCTATTCACATAATTAAACAAGTTGGCACCTAGCGGCGAGTGCATAAAACCTCGCGGTGTGGATCCCTCCTTGCGACATCAGCTAGCCACACCTTGTCCGCATGTGCGCACGTCATGCACATCCTCAGAAGACCATTGTGTAAGCACAGTGTTAAATGCTTGTACTTATGCGTATACATTATGCACTAGCATTTCACCTTCCAAGACGCACCATGTCCTTGTGCCCAGATTTGGGTGCACTTCAATTTCTAGAGCCCTCCATTACTGTGTCTTTCATAATAATATGGTGGTTTTGGGAAGTTCAACCACACATATCAATGAAAACTTACCATGGTGTCTCTAATAAGTGAGTTCATGCGCGTGTGGGTATGGCACTTGCTGTAATCATTGTACTGTCCATACCCTAAAATCATTTCAGTGCGGGGGTCATTTGTTGTTTAAGCGCATCAAATAGTGCATTTGGCATCATTCTAAATGCAAGAAGTATAGTCCTAAGTTTCAAGGTGTAAATGGGTAATTTTAGCGATGTTTTGCAAAGTGTTGGTGATTTTGAAGTCTTTGTAGTAACACTGAGCATGAATGAGTTTTGCAGAGGCCGTTTCATGGTAAAGAAAACCTCAAGCCAAAAATTTCTATTGCGGCACATGTATGCAAACATAAAAGCAGAGTGCACGAAGTTCTCCATCATCTTATCATGCAGAAAAACAGTACAGACTTTTTTGTAGTCGTTAGATAAAAAAACACTTAAAATGTTTTAGTCGCACAACACTTTACTTACATTGTGGTATAGGTAGAGCACAAGTTAATAAAAATAAAACATCTATCACCTGGCAAAACATGACTGGGACAGAAGGCCATCGGCCCATTGATTGGTATATTTCTCACACATAATAGAAATGTTAGCCTGGCTTCATGCATTAATGTTGCAGTGGATGTTGTATATTGTATTGCCATTAGACTATAGTCAACACGATATATTCGGTGATCATCGAATCAAACCGCTTACAGCGAAGCACTGTCGCTGAGTACATGAGTATATACGTGCTGCCAACCACGTATTCACACCAACGTGCCGATGGTGCTGCCACCTATAGCCTGCTCTCGCTGCGAATACTTGTATTGCTTTCAGGTTAACACATGAAGTTTGAAAACGTTGACTGTTGGGCGCGTTGATGGTGTGACATAGAAACCACCGTCCTCGTCTGTTTCTTCCTGTATGTTGTGTTTAGTTGCGCCCTCACGGTGGTTTCTATGACATGGCTTTGGCTGCTGTGAACAGGACTTTGTTGCCGGTGCAGCATCAAACCTTGCTGCTGGCTCTCAGGTTCAAGAAAACAGATTAGTTGGCACTAGTGAAATTCACTTTTTAATCTGCTGTATTCAAACATTTTTGTGGTTTTTATCATGCAATAATGTGAGCCTCTGGTAACTATATGTGGCTTTTAAAATCAAATCGTCGACATTATTGACTTCGTCATATTCATGTTTAACTGTATTTGATAGTTCCTAAGTATTTATCGAAACCAAATGAGTATCTCAAAGCTCATTTTCATTTGCTAACTCAATTTATAATTAGGATCAACTCTCGAGTACAGTCGAGCCCACATATAATGGCCCCACTTGAAACGAACTTTCGCTTAAAACGAACAATATCCGCGTGACCGTCAAAATATACATTGGTTCAATGGCACAAAATCGCACTTACAGCGAACGTCCTGAGCGCCGCTGATCGGTTACAGCGAACGAAGTCAGCGGTCTGCCGACTTCCCGGGAAACCAATTTGGACCACCGATCAAGCATCGGCGAAGTGCCCATACATTCGTATTGTTAAACGCCGACCCTGCCTCCGCGACCCTCTAGTTGCCGCTCTCCCCAACTCATGGAGGAAGAAAAGCTGTTTCTTTCCTCCATGCCCCGACTGCTTTTTGTTACGCACCTCTCCGTCCTTTGTCCCCCCTCTACTCTGAGCGCCCCGCATCGTCAGACGAGGCCCGCGTTTTCACACTGCCATTGATCTTTCGAAGACCGGTCGGTCATCTACCCTGTTTTTAATTGCTGGTACTGTCGTTGGCGTCGCCGGCCTGGAGTGACCAGACCATTTGCCAACATCATCGGCTACCAACTGTATCCGATAGTCTGCGTCTAGTGCACACGCGTACACTACCCCACCGACTCTGATAACATGCAATTTGTTTCGTGTTTAGGGCTTGTTCTCGCTCATTTTGCCCTCGGCTCTGCATGTCTTCCGCGCGCATGCGGAAGTGCGAAATCGGCTGTTAATTTGCGTGGAACGAATCACGACATATCAAAGTTCGTGAGGCCACGCAAGCCCGCCGGCACAACAAAATGATTTTTGACCACGGCCGCCGATTCTTCGAACAGCACCGCACGCACCAATCCAGGCGGCCATGCTTCGACTTCAGCGCGCGCAGGCACTCTTTCCAAGTTTATCTACGTGTGAGTTTCGCGGACCTTTCAAGCAAGCTACCCAATGTGCCTCCTTCCCGTGTGTTTTGGTTTTCAAGGTCGCCCTCCTACCACATCCTCCCCCCTTTTTATCGCAACTCCTTGCCCTTCTCTCGCAAGTCTGCTCTCCTCTCTTGATCACAACCCCTTCGCCCGTCTCCACTGCTCCGCGACGCCCGCCACGCTGGCTCAAATTAGTTTCGTTCTCTGACTGGAAACGGGCCCAGAGTTGTTCCACGCATTCTGGTATGTGTGTCACGTGTGCACGTCTTGCTCGCTCTTGGTGTGTGTGTGTGTGGTCATGATGGCCGACGGAAGGACTAGCACGCTTTTTCCTGCCGCTCAACAAAACGTCGAAAGTGTGACCGCTTGGCTTGAGCGTAATCCGCGCATTAGATGCCGCGTTGCGGAGTGCTTGCTCACAGCTATTGACCACCTCGCAGCCATCTTGCTGCTTCGGCCGTCCCAGTATTCGGCGGTGACGGCTACATGCGCGCGAAACTGTTTTCGCGAGGCTGACTTTGTCGACGTCGGGCCCGATGCCGAACCTGAAGTTTCCGAACTGCGGCGATGATTTGTGGCAGCGCGTCGACTCCGACCTGGGAGAGCAGGTGGGACATCTGTTGCGGTGGTTTAATTACGGCCGACGATGAGGCCGACACTGCGAAACCGTGCACGGATTGGGGTATTGTGAATGAAGTACGTGACGAGGGTGATTTGGAGGAATCTGATTGCGAGAACGACGAAACTTTGGAGCCAGTGTTTCATGCAGCTTATGCCACGGGCCTCGGTGAACGAGCACCCTGCCATTTTAAGTGAACTCGAGACCACCCTTATCACTTCTGCTCTTCGAAACATGTGGATCGCGGACTTTTTGCGGCAAAAAAAGGTATTGTTTTTACTCGCAACTTTTTTAAAA